AGAGCCAGGCCTGAGGCACACCAAGCCAGGCCGCCATAACCACTGGTCAAGCGAAAGAAAGGGCTAAGGCATGCCAGGGCAGGCTACTGCACCCGCCCTGCACTCGTAGGAACTGGCACTGGGGGGCAGCCTGGTAGGAGTTCTGGAGGGTCCCTGCCAACCCCCCCCCCCCCCAACAAATGGACAGCCTCTCAAATACATACAGGACACTGGGCTGGCTGGCCTGTAACATCAGACTAACTTATAGCAGCAGCCTGGACGCACAGGACCTGGGAACAGGGACAGACCAGATAGGGCTGCTGTGGCAGGGGTGGGTTCCCTGAATCACATGGTACCCCAGACGAACAGGACACTTGATCTCCGGGAGCATCCCATGGACATGTGTCCCACCATTGCAAAACCTGCCCATGTTACACACCTGGGCCACCTCCATTGCTCACTCCCATTCAAGGATAAAGAACACACCCAGCTGCACACGAGAGACAAGACAGCCAGCTCCTCCAATCCAACAGAGGCTCTCAAGTACTTCTGCAAATGGTGGAAAGAAAAGCAAGAGCCACAGCACTTCAGATCAAGTTCTACACAAAGCACCTAGGCCTGTGGACACTCTGAGGTAGATGTGACCAACCAGCAGGCCTTGGAACTTACACAGAGAGAGCAATGAAGAGCCCCTGTGATGGCAGAAGGAAGAGGTCACCTCTTACATGATAAAGCCAACAACATCCTAGAGCAATCAAGGTGACGCAGGGACACAGCCACAGTTACAGACACTGAAGGGAAAGCTTCCGGCCAGGAATAAGGCTCCACTAGCTGAGGGTCAGACCCGGGACAACTACACAGCAAGTTTATGGCCACAAGTCGGAATCTGCTACAATACAGACAGCTGAGTCACATCCCCAGGGTTTCTGAGTCAGCAGCTCTGGAGAGAGTCTGAGAATGCATATTTCTAAGAAGTTGCTCATCAGAAAATTTGAGAACGTTGTCCTAGCACAACAGTCCTGTCCTTGGCCCTTGGCACTGCATGGGACATTCCTACCTCAAATCGCCTCAAGGCTTCACTTTCTTATTTCCTCAGGTTTATGACTAATAAATCTTATCAGTGATGTAAGTCTTGGCCTATGGAAGACAGCAAATCCACCCTTGCGACAGAAAGATAACTACAGTTAGACAACAGGGTGCATGGTTGATAAGCTCCTCCCATATACTGAGCTTCTAAACTCCTCCCTTACATAATGAATAAGACATGAGTAGACCTTTGGCCCAGCAATTAACACCCTGTTTAGGACACCCATCTCCCAAACCAGTGTCCATAGGTTAGATTTCTGTCGAATCCCCACTCCTGAGTCTACCTTAATACTCTGCTGGTTCATTCCCAAAATGGGTACAATGACACCAGGAACTTCATGACACCAGGTTGCAGGGGGTCCAAATAATTGGGCCAACTTGCACTGCTTTTCCCAGACCGTTGGTAGGGTTAGTAAGTGGAGCAGCCAGAATATGAACCAGCACCTATTTGGGATGCTGGCAGTACAGGTGGCAGCTTTACCCACAAAAGTACAACACCAGCCCAACCTAATCTCCTAGTACATTCTCCAGATACCTGAGACCATGAAGTTCCCTACCCAAATGGCATGGTGCCAATGGCAGGGTCTCTTTCTCAAGTCAGTATTCCTCATGATAAAGCACTGGGTACACAAGGTCCCAAGGTGTGTCTACAGAGGGAGGTAGAGCTGAAGCCTGGACATAGAGCCCGAGACTCGCAGCAGGCTCGCAGAGCGCACTGCATACAGCAGTCAGGGGCAAGCTCTCCATCAGGAGTCAGGTTCCGAAACAGAACCAAGGAAGTCCGAGGAATTCTCAATTTGATCTTGGAGCTACCAGATCTGCATAAGGCAAAGTTACAAAGAGACAGAGAGGGAGATCTTTCATCCACTAGTTCACTCCCCACATGACCACAACAGCAAGGGCTGGGCAAGGCCAAAGCACATGGGTGCAGGGACCCCAACACTTGGGTCGCTTTCACAGGCACATCAGCAGAGCTGAATCAGAAGTGTAGATAAATGTTATATTGGTCTTCATTCGTATTCCCATTTCAAGCTCTTAAAGTGGACCTGTCTAGAAATACACTTGTAAGTAGTTGGCATTATCAGACTGACTCTTTCTCTAAATTCCATCAAAACAGAGACTTTGCCTGCTTTGTTATCTATTCTTAAACAAACAGATTTCTATTTTACTCCAGATGATATATACACAAATCTGGAACTGTCTTTATTTGTTTTATGCATTGGGTTGTCCCTGCATCCTTTTGTCATATCCCCAGCTCTCTGCTGTTTGTATGTTTGCTAGCATCTCTTTACATTCCACAATGGAAGACAACCTAGGTTCACATTATACTTTTTGGCTGCAGTGCAAACAGTTTTCATTATTCTCCAATCTGTCTAGTATTCAGTAATTACCATGATTACACTCTAGATTGTAGACTACACTACAGAAATGTGCCACAATAATTCTACCTTGTGAGTTTTAGCCCCACCTAGATGGCTGATACTCCCAGGCACACTTCTAGTCCACCAACTAAATGCAGGGAAAAGCAACTGGATTATATCTGTAAGTGGTGGTTTCAAAATAACATATTTAAAATTTCTTAAGTTTCAAGTCCTAAAAAATACTACATATTAATGCGCCAGTCTAACACATCAGTAGGCTATTCTTATAAAGAGGCTATGGAGTTTTGTTATCACTTATTCATTGACTTAATAAGCTCTGACACAGTTATTCTCTGTAGGTAAAGAAGGAATGTTTTAGAATGTGGTTTATATGGGCCAGAGAGATGGCTCAACTGGCTACTCATCCACCTGTAGGTATGGGTACCCCATTTGGGTGCCATTCATATCCTAGCTGCTCTACTTCTTTTTCTTCTTTTTAAATTTTATTTCATTTTTATTGGAAATGCAGATTTATAGAGAGTTACAGATACGGAGAGGAAGATCTTCCGTCCACTGGTTCACTCCCCAAGTGGCCTCAATGGCCAGAGCTGAGCCTATCTGAAGCCAGGAACCAGGAGCGTCGTCCAGATCTTAAAGTGCACACAGGGTCCCAACACTTTGAGTCATCCTCTACTGCTTTCCCAGGCCACAAGCAGGGAGCTGGATTGGAAGTGGAGCAGCTAGAACAGGAACCAGTGCCCATATGGAATTCTGGTATATTCAAGGTGAGTATTTAGCCACTAAGCCATCACATCAGGTCCCCAGCTACTTCACTTCTGATCCAGCTTCCTGTTCGTGACCTGAGAAAGCAGTTGAAGATGGCCCACACCCATGCAGGAGACCAGGAAGAAGTTCTTGGCTCCCGGCTTCAGATTGGTTCAGCTCCCGCCCCTGCAACCATTTAGGGAGTGAACAAGTACATAGAGGACCTTTCTCTCTTTGTCTCCCCTTCTCTCTGTAAATCTGCCTTTCCAATAAAAATAAATGTATCTTTAAAAAAATTTTTAATGTGACTTCCACTAATGCATACCAGCTCCATGACCAAAGAGAAGCTGTTCAACTTCTAAGTCTCAGTTGCTTCTCTGTGAGACAAGAGCAGTGTTTATGTCAAAGGGCTATGTGAGATACCCCTGTAAAGCATGTCAGGAGAACTCACAAATAGATGTTTCATTACTGTCCTGTGCAGGACATGGCTGCCTGAACTGTATATGAGGAAGAGGCTTAGAACATTCCACAGGGCACATGAAGCACTTCCCTTCAGCTAGGAAACTAACAATCCTAGTAAAATGTGATTTAATGTATTCCCTTTCCACGCATCTGTTACCCTAAAAACGTCAGGGAGCTCACAGCTACCTGAGGTGAAGTGGGAAGTGGGAGGCGGACAGTGTTTTCATCAACAGAAGTTACTCAGCTGCTTCTTCTTGGTTGCCTTCTTATAAATAAGATTTTTTTTTTAACCTGCTTCATAGATGAACTCATTTGCATCAGCTTCTTTAAATAAACATTTTTTTTAAAACCCTTTATATTCTAAAGGCATTGCAAATAGCAATACTATCTAGATGGCTTGGTTCATTTTGGGCTAATATTCAGTGAACAGATGGCTTCACTGAAGTGTACACCCAACTCTGAGGTTTTAACAATCATTTAGTTCTGCAATGGTGAATTCTAAAAAAATGTGAGAGATAATGTTCTCCTGGGCTTTGAAAATATTCATGACTCTAGTAGTGGCAGTATTTTCAAACATCTTTAATCTTTCTAGATGACAAATTAATATTGCATAAGTTAATGACATCAAAATAGATTTTTTTTCTGAACAAAAACTATAAGGCTAAAACTATTCCTAAAAAATAAGAATGCAAAAAATATTTATCACAACATTGTTTATAGTAGTGGAACATGAGACAAAGTTGATACATTCAATAACCCTGTGACAGTTTAATATATTGTGAGAAAGATATCCAGCAGAAAACACACAGTTTATAAAAACAATGATACTGATCAACATTTACTGACATGAAGATAGTCATGATGGTTTTAAATCTCAAATTATAAAATACATGAGATTTCAATTCTTTATGACACATAGCGTGTATGTGCATTATGAAACACCCAATGAAGTACAAGTACAGATACGCAGGAATAGAGAGAGCTATGCCAAAATATTAATAATAGTGATCATGCCCAGAGCAAAGGGCTGATGGTTTTACAGTAACTGTGTATCATTTTTATGACCATAAAAAATTGCAGCGTCAATCAACCAGCCACTAAGCCATGAAGAACCTCGGTACTGACTTCCTTCCTGTCGTGGGAACTGAACGTCAGGGCTGGAACGTCCTGGCCTCGGAGGAGATAACACATCAGCGAGACTGCAGGAAATGATATTAGGCATAACTCACTAAGCATAACCCTGAGGTTTAGAAATCTACTGGACAAAGAAACCCGCTACAGGTCCTCTTTAATACACAGGAACAGTATGGCCAGCATACACACCCTGAGGTAGAAAAACAAACTTACTGCAGTGGATAATCTGGATGCCAATGTCATTTCCAAGTTCCCTTTGAGACCGAGGAGTGCAGGAACTAAAATGAAGACTTCTGTAACTTTTTTGAACACCTCCCAATGCTGTAAGAAATAAAATAAAATTTTGATACTTTAGAACAAACACATTACTAAAAGCCTCAGCCATTTTTTTCAAGTTTGTATTTACATTTTTGAACGACTGCATAGGTTATCAGTGAACACTGGGCTTAACCTCATCCTCCGGAGCCGTGAAGCTCTGAGTAACTTTAGCAGACAGCATTGGCAACGAAGTCTGATAGTTAATACTCCTCACTCTACATCCAGCTTGCTACACAATCTTCATTCAGTTCCATTGTAGCATGAGAGGCAGAGACAAGATTCTAAAAACAAATCCTGGGTTTATTATTAACTAGCTGTGTGGTCCTAGATGAGTCCCATATCTTTGCGATTTCAATTTCTTCATCCCTAAAAAAGAAAAACACATCAATCCTGTCTAGCCTTTGGAGGAACAACATAAAGGGAAAAGCAGAACACTTAAGGTGCTTTCTAAATCTTAAAGATCTCATAAAATGTTTAATAACATAAAGTGAGATTTTACAAACGCTATTAAGAGGTTCGTGCCCCAGCAAGAGACTTCATGAACTTCACACATTAACTTTATGTAAAAAAAAAAAAATACCAACAGGGGCCTGACACAGTAGCCTAGCAGCTAAAGGCCTTGCAATGAATGCACCAGGATCTCATATAGGTGCCAGTTTTAATCTAAGTGGCCCATCTTCCTATCCAGCTCCCTGTTTGTGGCCTGGGAAAACAGTCGAGGACAGTCTAAAGCCTAGGGACCCTGCATCCATGTGGGAGACCCAGAAGAGGCTCCAGGCTCCAGATTGGCTTAGCTTCAGCCGTTGCGGCCACTTGGAGACTGAATCAACAGACTAAAGATCTTCCTTTCTGTTTCTCCTCCTTTCTGTACATCTGACTTTCAAACAAAAATAATAAAAACATATCTTAAAAATATATATATCAGCAGCACACATCTTGTCACTGATGCCAGGACTGGCAAAAAAAAAGTAAAGCATAAATCCATCAGATAAATATGACGAGTGGGGAAACCACTTTAGACATTTATATCATCATTCACAGGTCATACAAAATTGTCAACTTGAAAATTTTGCTGCTACAGATTCATTGAATTTCAGCTCCCATCTGTAGTTGCCTTCGTAGGGCCAAACCAAATGATTCCATATAAGCTGTAGAACTGGGGATTACATAGAGTTTAGGAAATGACCAATCTTCTTCAAATTATTGGCTTAAAGAACTCAAAAAAATCCATTTAAAGTACATGCCAATTATAGAGGGTCCTAAAAGAGCACTGGGTCCAGCAGCACCCCAAGTTCATAGTCATAGAAATTAGTAAGCCATAGTCTTGTCTGGTTCGTGATTTTCAAGGTTCTGGTGTGACTCAACTATCCTCAGAGATGATGATGATGGCATGATGGACGAGATAACGGCGTGGATCACAGCAGCCAGCAGTACCAAAAGCTGTCTTCACTGACCACTTGGGCCTGTTCCAGGCACCACTCTTGAGGCTCACTCAATCTTCACAGGAAGTCTGTGATTTTATTTTTAACAGACAGGAAAGTATTTCACCTAGGTATCTCTTTAAGATACTTACGAACCTACTAATGATTTCATTCTGGGAGCCACAGAATAATAATGCATAGATGCATCAGTCACAACCTTTAACACTTGACAATGGCTGGGATGTGACTATTCTTCCTAATTTCACCTCGAATCAGAGGCTCATGTGAGAATTACTACAAAATCCCTAGCACCTTAAGCATAGTGTAATACTAATAACTATTAACTACTGATTTCTTGTCTCATTCAAAAAAAAATCTACATTCCTTTCTCCATGTCTGTGCATGTGAAGTTCCCAAACTTTCTTAGCTCACTGCACTCTTAGTATCTCAGAAACATTTCATGGCACCCCTAGAACAACAGGTGCAGATAGTCCTGCTGATTAAGTAGTTGGGTTCAAACAAACTTTGTAGATATTTCCTCATAATGTATCAGCAATGTAAATGAATAAGCATAATGAAGGAAAAAACTGTCTCATTTTTAAAAAAAGATTTATATGTTTGAAAGCCAGATAGAGGAGAGAGAAAAACCTTCCATCCTCTGGTTCACTCCCCAAATATCCCAAACCTGCAACAATTGAGTCTGACCCAGGTCTAGCCAGGAACTCCAGGCACATCTTGGCAGAGGCCCAAGAACTGGGTGATCTTTGGCTGTTTTCTCAAGTGAATTAACAGGGAGTTAGATCAGAAACAAAACAGCCAAGACTGGGTCCAGTGTTCATATGGGCTGTCAACACTGCAAATAGCAGCTCAACCTGCTGTACCACAATGCCTGCCCCCGGTGTCATTCTTTTATGGCTATATCTACTTATTGATGAGATATGTACAGTTCTTGAGCAATACAGTTTCTCAAACCTAGAAAGTAACAACTATCACTTTCATTTCCTGCTTTTCACTGCTTTCAATGTGACACATGCTTTTTGTCCCAGCTCTGCTGATCCATCACAAAAAGAATGAAGTGGATCTCAGGTTATGCTGAACTATTTCGGCATATATGCTGTATTAGTAAGTACAGTGTCAAGCAGTGCCATGGTACTTGCCTCCACATGGTGTCTCGCAGCAACCCTGGACTATCTTGACATAGTTTAGGAAATTTGGCAAGAGTGAGAAGTAGTACAGTTTCACATTTAAATGGAAGGGCTCTGCAATCAGCATATTAGGGTCAAAGGCTTCCTCTACTCTGGACTATTTCTTTGGAGCAAAAAATAATAAACCCTCTAATTGCCCCCATTCAAAACAGACAGAACTGCTACTTTTCTTAAACTGTGCTTGGACAGTGCCATACTGACACAGTGTTCTGAGCAAGATACACACACAATCCCTGAGGCCAAGACCAGGATTATAACTACCAACCTTTCCATGATCCTGTCCCGGAGTCCCTCAGTGCCTGATCTTACACTGCTGCCAACAGTGCAACAGTTGAGGGAAGCAAGTCTAGTCAAACAAAACCGCAGACTAAATCCAAACCCAAAAATCTGATGGCCACAATGACAAACATAAATTTTTTTTAAAATTTGAAACATTTGCAAAACACAGTTATTAGAGTTCTAGCTTAAAACAGAAATTATTTTTTAAGTAATTGGCAAAAGATTTTATCACTTTTTTAAAGACGTACTTTTCACATGGAGAAGTTTTGCTTCTCTTTTCGAAACTTCTTTTGCACCACAGGTAGGCAGTTGGTGAAAATGTAGATTAAGACACTGAGGTCCCAAGTTGGAGTAACAAGGTTTGGTTCTTGGCTCCACCTGCTAACGTCAGCTTCCTGCTAACGTCGACCCTGGTAGGCAGTGATGACAGCTCAAGTGATGGGGCTCCTGCTCCCCGTGTGGGAGACACTCTGTCCCCCTAGCTCCTGGCTTTGGCCCCAGCCCAACTCCACGGGCACTAGAGGGGTAAACCAGCACCCATTCCTGCTCTCTCACTTTCTTGCTCTCTCACTGCTCAATTGTTTTTAAACAAAACAAAAATTCAAAATATATTTGCACCAAAATAGACTTGGTTTTAATTTCATTTTCCATAAATTTTATGAAATATCCTGATTTTTTTGTGATTCAATCTTTCCATTATATTTCCAACTAAAAGCAGGAAATCTGTGGCAATTTTCCTCAGTAAACACTAATTAGCACCTAAAGCTGGCAGATAACTGAAGAAGAAAAGCAGAAAGAAAGAGGAAGTCATTAAATTAAGAGATGAGGAAAAAATTTTAAATTCCATCTTAAGCAAGATGAATCTGAAGCGTGTTCAGAAAATACCCAAGAATTCAAAACTAGAAAATACATACCCAGAATTCAAAACCAGGGCAGTGCTAGGTATGCAGTCTGCACTAATGATATAACTCAAAGAAAATAAGTGGATGTTGTTGACAAGGAGAAGATAGCTAGAGAAATGGTAAAGCCTGGGGGCAGAATCATGGAGACGTCCACTCTTCTAGAAACACAAAAAGGAAGTCGAGAGTGGCGTGGTGGCAGAGCTGCTAAGCCACCACTTGCCAATGTCTACATCCTATAGGGCCACCAGTTTGGACATCCCGCACGGGTGCCAGTTCATGCCCAGCTGCTCCACTTCTGATGCAGCTCACTGCTGATAGTGTTTAGGCCCCTGCCACCCATGTGGAAGACCTGCAAGAAGCTACTGCTGCATTGGCCTGGCCCGGTACTGGCTGTTGTGATTATCTGGGGAGTGAACTAATGGATAAAAGAGTCTCTCTCACTCATACTCACGTATGCACGCTCTCTCTAAATTTAACATCCAAAAAAAAAAAAAATCTTAAGAAGAAAAAGGTAAGCAAACCAATAAACAGAAATGAAAGAGTAGTCATAAGGCACAAAATCTTCAAAGAACATGTCATTTCAAGGAGCAGAGTTCAAGCAGAAAGCACACTTCATTACACTATATTGTATAATACTTAATGGCCAGCAACAATAATGTACTTCTCATAACCAAAGGCTATGAGTCATCTGCAGCTCTCCGGTAGACTGTGTTCCATGTATCTTCCTGGATATCAGACTAAAGAAGTGATCATGGTCTCAAGGTCGAAGGCAGGATCCAAGGGTCAAATCAAACCAAAGAACCATAATTAAAGATTATGTTCAAATATGTTATCTCCTCACATTTACTTGGCGTAAGCAAGTTATATGGCCAAGTCTGATAAGGTTGGAAAATATACTCAAATGTCAGGGTGGCATGGGTGTAGAATCTTCTTACAATTGGAAAAATGATGTAAAACAGTAAAGTATGTTTAATAATAGCACATAGGTATTTATCAAGTATCTGTTATATGTTAGGCACAGAACACACACGTACACAATTACAGTAGGTACACAACATTGTTGAACTTGTAACTGTTGCTAGAGGTCTATACTGCTGTAATAGTACGCATTGGGCGGGAGAAGAATGTTGGGAGGGGAGAAAAGGAGGAATCCCTATACCTGCAAAACTGTAGCATGGAAAATAAGAAGAAATACATTTTTTAAAAGTATGCAAGGTTGGTATACAAATTAGAAAGCAAATCCAAAAAAATAATTAAGCAAGTTCTCCCAAATGACTTAAGTTGAACGATTAAGATTCAAAGGCCTAAGACTCTCCATAGCCACTGGTTTGAATGAAAATGCTACTGAGTAGCAGCCCACTGCTAGTGAGAAGACTCTCAACGCTCACTGTTGACATCAGAATGGTTTCCTAGCTTTCTCCACCTCTGAAAATAAGAAAAAAAAAAAAAAACAAGAAAAAAATAAATTGAGTAGACTCAGAATTTAAAATAACACCAAATACTTACAAACAAGTGTTGGCAAAAATCAGAAAAATTAGAATGCTAAGCCACAGGCTCCCAGAATGCCATACTTTATGAACAAACAAAATCTCCAAATAGCATTCCTGATTTGGGAGTTGCCAGCTCTTTGTTTTGACAAGTGATACGTTAAAAATTGCCATTTACCATCAATGATGACTATGGCTGCAATGATTACAGAGATAAATCTAAAGGAAATACTGACCTCCTGAACACAGATCTATCCTGCCTGAAATACCAATTGTACAAAAAGGTTCATGGTTGATTGACAGTAGACCACCAACAGTCCATTTTAGTTGACAGACAGAAACAATACCTGCTTGGAGACCCTGGAGAGCTAACTAAAGAGTAAACAAATACCAGACCAAAAACTAGGGGGGAAAACAAATCACAGAGAAAACCAGAAGTGAGCCTTTGTTTTGGGCATGCCGATTCCAAAAAGGCACCACGAGACTGAAGGAACAACTACTTGTGATGCCTGTGAAAGTGGGAATACAGGTCCTGACAAAGGGACTTGGAGCCAGACAGAAAGGGAATTCTGGTGGGGGGAGAAAACAGCTCCAAGTTAACAATGAGAGTAAACTAGACTGGGGCTGGCAGTGTGGGACAGTGGGTAAAGCTGCCGCCTATAGTACTGGCATCCTATATGGACACCGGTTTGAGGCCAGACTATTCCACTTGCAATCCAGCTCTCTGCTAACGCATCTGGCGAAGCTCTGGAAAACAGCCCCTTGGGACTTTGCAACCATGTGGAAGATTTGGAAGATGCTCCTGGCTTCAGACAGGCCCAGCTCTAGCCACTGCAGCCATTTGTGAAGTGAACCAGCAGATGGAAGACCTCTCTGTGTCTCTCCCCTCTCTCTGCCATTCAAGTAAATAAAGATATCTCAGTAATATTTCATGATAGGAACAATCATTTAACTATCAAGAAACTAAAAAAAAAGTATCTTTTGTCACTATTTCATGAGTAATCTTGCACCTCCTTTTTGTTGCTGTCATTTTTCTCCTTTGATCACGAAAGATACTCACTCACCTGATTTTATCATAAACCACTGGCTTGCTTATTAAACAAACATCACTAAATACCATAGTTTGGTCTTACTCAAATCTTTTTAAACCATATACTTTTAGTAAACATGTAAGCAGGAAGAATCTCTCATATGTCTCAATACTTTAGAAAGTAACTTGGCATCTACTAACTTTGAGAACCTGCCTATCCTAGGACATGCAAATTCCATTTGCACCTATGTATCCAACAGATACCTATGCAATGTACACTAAGCAGCAGTCCTTCCAACGTCCATCAAGAGCAGATTGGATTATATTCATAGAATAGATCACAACGCAGCAATGAAAAGAAATAAACTATAGTTTCATAAAACATATACAATGTTGATTAACAGTGACAACAACAAGTCAGATGCAAGAGAATACAGATTACATACTCCCAACGTATATGGTTAAATGATTGTTTCTATCATGAAATTCACTGAGCTGTTTTTGCTTTTTAAGCTCTGGATTATTAAAATTCACAATTTAAAAGTGTATTTAAATAAAATCTTTAAAAATATTCACACTTTTTTTTATTTTTAAAACTAAAGTTTAATACTATAGAGACCTTAGACTTAGATAAAATTATAAAAGGAACCTTCTCAAATTATCTGTGTGACATTATCTCAACAGCATCAAAACTAAACATACCACAAGAATACACAAAATGAGCTATGTAAATAACCTATCAATATGTACATCATTGTACAGATGCTATCATTCCATAGCTAAACAGTGAGTGTTTCCTCAGAATAACTGGTATAGCAAGATATAAAAGCAACGGTCAGGTGTTTGATGCAACAGCCAAGATGCCTCTTAGGATGCTCACAACACAGTGCTTCGGTTCAAGTCCTGGCTCCACTGCCACTCCCAGCTTCTTCCGAATGCACCCTAGGAGGCAGCAGGACCTGCTCAAGCAGTTGGGGACCTGTCACTCACAGGAGATACACAAGGAGATAGCTTCTGGCTTTGGCCTGGCCCAGTCCTGCCTATTACAGACATTTAAAGATGTGAGCTCTCTCTTGCTCTGGCCGGCTGGCTTGCTCACTTGCTCGCTGGCTCTCTCTCTCTCCTCCCCCCCCCCCCTTTCTTTTTTTTACCTCTGTGGCTTTCAAATTAAATACATAAATAAAATTTTTATACGAGAAATACACAGAAACCAACTTATTTGCGGTACAGCTGTGCTATCTCCATGACAAATTTTAAATGGATAGATAATTTAATTCCCCATTGGTATTATTACCTATGTTAAAACTCCTCATAACTTTTGTATAATTTCTCCAACTGATGGTCAGAAATGTCTCCATTAATTCATATTTTCCACTTAGATAAAAATGCTATCTGTTGAATAGTGTCTTAGAGTCACAATGACCCGAGACTCTTCGGAAACAAACAATGAAAGACGAAGGCACATTAACAGAATGGTGGATCTGACGCCAACTTTCTCTGATTAAAAAACGAAAACTGACAATAACAGAATGCTGCATTTGGGCAATTTACTACTCTTTTTTTTTAATACTTTTAAAAGATATAGTAGGTAGTTTTCTGACTATAATACATTAAGAACTCTTTCAAATCAGTAAGTAGCACATACATGTTTAGATGGATGAAAGATACCAAAATTAATCCAAAGGAGAAGTGAAGTGCTAGCATGTGGGATTTGAGGTTTGCACAACGGTGAAGATGCTGCTGGAGGCACCTACATCTCATATCCGAGTCCTTGAGTTTGAACTCCAGCACTGCTCCCGAACACAGCTCCACATTAATGAATAACCCAGGAGATAGCAGGATATGGCTCACATGGCTGAGGCCTTGCCACCCGTATGGGAGACTCAGATCTGAGCTGGGCTGCTGGCTCTCACCTAGCCCAGCCCTGGCTGCTGCAAGCTTCCAGGGAGTGAACCAGCAGATGGACAGTTAATTTGTCTCTCTATATGATTTAAATACATATTATTTAAATTTTTAATAATGAAAAATATATTTAAATATATATAATATAGGTGTGATTTAAATATATGATTTAAACATATATATGGATTAAATATATATTATTTAAAATTTTTAAATAATAATAATGAAAAAAGTATTGAGTAAAACATGATAACATTTTCTTATTACTTGGCTAAATACAGAAAGAATCAGCATTTCCAGGGGGCTAGCCCTGTAGCTCAGTGGACTAAGTCACCACCTGTGATGCCATCATGTCATCTGAGTACTGGTTTGAGTCCTGGCATCTCCAATTCCAGCAGAATCCCAGCATCACAGTTTGGCTTGGCCTAACACCTACCACTGTGGCCACTGTGGAGTGAATCAGCAGATGGAAAATATTCTCTCTGTGTCTGTCTGTCTGTCTGACTTTCAAATAAATCTTGGGGCTGGCAGGATGCCTCAACTTGCTAACTCTCCAACTGCAAGAGACTCCCGATACATTTTTGGATACATACAAAAGCACTATTTTGTGATCAGAATGATCATAACTTCCAAAGGGGGTGGAGGGCTGAACTCCAAGCAGAAAAAGAAGGATCTCTACCAAAGTCAGCATCCATTCACTTTACTAAGGAATGAATAAAACCCAAAGAAATGTTTGAGATTAGTAACTTATACATGTACATTTTAAACAAAATGCAGGAACAAAAAAAGAGGAAACTCACCTGTACTACATCCAAAACCATGCCAGCTGAAACTGTCCCAAAGCCAGCTAGCAAAAACGGCACAAGTATCTGCAGGGCCATGATGCCACTGGACTCCTTTGGTAACTTATGGTTGGCTTCCACAATGGCATCCTCATCGCCATCGCTGGACGCGTCTCCGTCCTGTAGCATGGCAGTGGTTTCTGAAGCCTCTCGCACGTCACAGTAGTTGTAGTTGGCATAGTCATCATACTTTTGGCTACAGCCTGATGGTATGTGCCCGTTACTGCCATGGAAAGACTGCTCTGAGAAACTGTGATACTCCATGTGCTGCTCAGCTCTGTTACTCAAAGTCTGTGCTGCTGCTGACAGTCCATCTTGCCAGAGGCCATTCCCTTTTTTGTGTCTATCTTCTTGATTTTTCTGGTAAATCACTGGAACCATACTCAACAGTAAGTTTAAAAACTTGTCAGACTGAATTGTATTTAAATTTAAAGTCCAGTCTACAAAACTTCCTCCACTAGCTGAACCATCACTTGTTTTACTGGTCAGAGATCTTCCTTTACTATTAGTCATATTGTCATCGCAAAAGACCCTGTACTGCTTAGATTCCAAGTACTGTGAACAGCAGCAGATGAAGCAGAAGCACATAAACACTTCTGCAAATTAAGTTGTTGGCCTCATTGTGTAGAACAAGTTTTCGTTAGTAAAAGATGTTCAGAGGTTCCACAGAGGGGCTGGATCTGGAAAGAAAAAATAAAATGTAAAACTCCAATTATCGGCAATAGGCATTTGGTCCTAGGGTTAGAACACCAATGAAAACAATCAGGTCCCACACGAAAGTGCCTAGGTTCATTGCAAGCTCTGGTTTACGATGCCAGGTTCCACCAGTACTAACTATGGCAGGCAGCAGGTGATGGCTCACGAGTTTCGGTTACGAGTTTGGAAGATCTGGATGAAGTTCTCAGCTGCTTGCCCAATCCTAGCTATTGAGCCAATCTGAGGAATCAATCACCAGATGAGAACTCTGTCTCTACTTCCCTTTCTTCCTCTCTGCTTCTCAAAAAAAATTAACTTTGAATGTAGAAAAGATTTAAATGTAGAAAAGACATTTAAAGTCGGTACCCAAAGGTATTGATACTATACTGCAATGGCTCAGAACAAAACTTCCTTGTGCCATACTATCGCTCTGTGTTCACAGATGACTAAGCTACTTCTTGGACTCAGTTTGGATTTTAAAAATTGCTTATCTTTGCGTACTTTATATAACTACCACATACCAAAAGGTCTGCAACTAATCTTCTATTGTGGACAAATTTATTTCAAAAAGTAGTCGCTTCTATTCCTATAGAGTAAGACACTTTACCCCTGTTAGTACACAGAAAACTGTTAAAACATACAACATCTTACTTGAAATATTAAATAATAAACCCTGTCACTTTATCTACAACTTGATACCTCTTGCTATTAAGATATGAAGAGATAATTGTGCTGTTTCTGCTTAATGAAAAACTTGCAGATGTCCTTAATACTGTACAGAGCATTTATCTGAGACAAAATTAGACTGAAGTGATACATTTGCAGTTCTGACACACCAAAAAATTCACTATAATATACTCATGACTATAGCTCTTACTGTTATTTATGAAATAACCAAAGGGCAAAGAGATTCCATATATGTATGTAGTCCTGCATTATACAAGCCAAGCAAAAGGAAGCTGGCAACGCACTACTGAACATTGTACTCTGTCCATTTACACTTCTCAAATCTGCTCTGGGCCATAATCCCAGGGCAGGCCCATGACTACCTGGCCAGTAACTGGATTCACTCTAAAAGCCTCTAACTAAGACACACACACACACATACTTTAGCCAATGAAGATAATGATGGGTACTGAAGTCAAGATAATGATAAAAATAAAGTGCATATGAGGATACTTGAAAACATTCACAGGAAATATAACTAGCTGGTGCAAAAAAGTCCACACACATAAGGAATCTAAGAAGTTCATGGAAAATGCATACTCTAAAATATGCATAAGAAAAAAATAAAAATTTGAAATCTACCTATGAATTTCAAATTTAAGCATCAAAACACACCAGATGACAAAAAAGAAATGTTCCTAATAGCATAGTTCACACTAACAAAAAAAAAACAGAATTAATTCATGAGAAAGTATAAATTGTGGCATATCTGAGTAGTCCAATATATAAGGAAAATATTAATTTCAAGAGAGTGGTTGAATTCACAGAGAAGGTACTGCTTATTTTTCTAAGCTTGGAAGTGAGCAATTACATGTCTGTTCCTGTTTTGCCAACAGCCGCTCATGGGCTGCAGCACATAGCATGAGGAAGAAAGCTTTGTCACCAAAAGCCATTCAGAGTTTGGAACTGCTTATTACCACAACATAATCTAAAAAAAGCTAACCGAAAAGTGTATGTTTGAAAAAGGAACCTGAACCACAAATTCCTATCCATCTCAGTTCAAGGGAGTATCCCAGGCACGTTAAGCACTTTGAAGGGGAACAGAAGGCCCAGCTCATGAGCCACACAACGGCCCAAAAAATCATGTGGTCTGACCCTGCCAAGACAACTGAAGGTAGGACTGCAAATTCAGTAAATCTATGTATAGACAGTTATATTTTTTTTAAGTTGATGCTTTTGTATGGCCTGTGAATATGTGATAAATACCCAAAAGAATCTTGCCAGAAAAAAAAGTTTCCCCATCCCTGAAAGCTGCCAGTCTGTGGTCAAGGAGTTGGGCTTTTCTACATTTTATCTGTTTACAGAAGAGGCGCAGAGAGACAGAAGAGCTCCATTCCCTGGTTCACTGCCCAAATACCTGTAAACTCCAGCCTGCGCCAGGCTGAGGCCAGCACCTGGGCACTCAAGCCAGGTCTCCCACAAGGGTTGCAGGGACACTCTAGTCATCATCTGCTACCTTTCCAGCTGGGTCTCAGCAGGAAACTGGAATCAAGAGAGGAATCGGGTCTTGAGCCCAGACACTCCAATATGGGACACAATCATTGTACCTGCTAAGCCAGCCTCAGAGAATGTCAACAGTGGCTTCTAAATATTTGGATCTCAACAACCAGTAAATTTTTCTCCCAAATTTTACTAAGTTAAAAACAATATTTATCCCCCAAATTTTACTTTTGTAAAGATTTACTTGTTTTTATTGCAAAGGCAGATTTACAAAGAAGAAATACAGAAAGAAAGATCTTCTGCCCACTGGTTCATTCCCCAAATGGCTGCAATGGCCAGAGCTGAGCCTATCCGAAGCCAGGAGCCAGGAGCTGCTTCCAGGTCTCTCACACAGATTTTGGAGTGTCCTCGACTGCTTTCCCAGGCCACAAGCAGGGAGCTGGGTGGGAAGTGGAGCAGCCGGGATATGAACTGGCACCCATATGAGATCCCAACACGTGCAAAGCAAGGACTTAACCACTAGGCCACCATGCTGAGCCCATCCACCCCAAATTTAAACATTCAAATACCAATAATGTAGAAAGGACAAAAATCAGGTTGCGCTTAGAGAAAAGGACAGATCTTTCCATTGAACATATTTGCATTTATGGAAGCACTTCACATTCTCTGTGAAAGCTTTGTTCAGCACAGTTTAACAGTCATGTTAGGAAATTATTGATTTAAAAAAAATACTAGATATCCCTTATGAGTTAAATTTTAGCTACAAAAAAATGATAAAAATGCCTGTTCTTGCACTGACATGGTGGCATAAAAAACTAACCCTCTGCCTGTATCACCAGCATCCCATATGGACCCCAGTTTGTGTACTGGATGCTCCATTTCCCATCCAGCTCCCTGCTGGTGGTCTGGGAAAGCAGTGGAGGATGACCCAAGTTCTTCTGCCCCTGCACCCACACAGGAAACCCAGAAGAAGCTCTTGGTTTCTGGCTTCAGAAACTCGGGCTGTTGCAGCCATTGCAGCCATTTGGGAAATGAACCAATGAACAGATCTCTGCACCTCTAACTTTCAAGCAAAAATATTAATCTTTTTTTACAAATGCTTATTTTTAAATGTCAAGAAAAAGAAGTATGCGTGTGTCCATTTGCTAAATAAAAATCTTGTGGAAAACCCGCTCCAAGTATTGAAGGAGTTACTTTATTCCACTGCAAGGTAATACAGTAATCCATTGCAAGGTAAAGTCAAGACTGCCACAACCCACTTCAGAGTGCCGTTTCCAGTGGCAGCTACTCCACACTATCAAGCCAGATCCTGTAACACACACAGGAAAGCAGCAACGGCCAGCCCAAGTACGCAGGTCCCTGCCACCCACCTGGGAGACAAGGATGGAGTTCTTGGCTTCTGGCTTAGGACTGCCCCAGATCTGGCTGTTGAGGTCATTTGGAAGATGAACTAAGCAAATGGAACATCTCTGTCTGTCCCTCCCCCTTCATCACTCTGCCTTTCAAATCAATAAGTAGATAAACCTCTTTTTAAACAAAATGAATAATACTTGGAAAAGCCAACAGAACTGTAAGTGAACAAGCATAGATCATGCTTAGCTATTCAGAAAGACACTGACTAGGAGTTTAACACTTTGTTATCTTTGCATAACAATAAAAAGCTTTATGTAATCTATCATACGTAATTATAACATTTAGTCATAAATCTTAAAACTGGTTCAGCAGGTAGTTTATATTTATATAGGCACACTAAAAACCACAGTACTATCACGCACATACACACAAAACAACCAAAAAAATCAAAGCTTATAATATTATATATTACATTTCATCGCTTTATAAATTTTTAATTATTTTTTTTTACATTTTTAATTACTTTTGCAACTCCACGAGTATATATTCGGCTCCTTTCATATTCTCCTTAAGTATATGTCTTGGTCATTGTTTGTTATTAAAATGTAAATAGTTGGGCCTAGCTCAATAGCCTAGTGGCTAAATCCTTGCCTTATATCTGCCAAGATCCCATATGGGTGCCGGTTCATGTCCCTGATGCTCCACTTTCCACCCAGCTCACTGCTTGTGGCTGGAAAATAGTAGAGGATGACCCAAAGCCTTGGGACCCTGGACCCATCTGGGAGACCCAGAAGAAGCTCCTGGCTCCTAGATTCAGATCAGCTCAGCTCTGGCTATTGCGGCTACTTGGGGGGTAAACCAGTACATGAAGGATCTTTTTCTCTGTTTCCCCTTCTCTCTGTATATATGCCTTTCCAATAAATAAATAAATTTTTAGGGAAAAAAAATGTATGTAATTGAGGGGCCTGCACTGTAGTTCAGTGGGTTAGGGCATTGCCTGCCGTGCTGACATCTCACAATGGAGCACTAGTTCGAGCCCCAGCTGCTCCACTTCAGAAATCCAGCTCCCTGCCAATGCACCTGGGAAGGCAACAGCAGGTGGTTCAATTGTTTGGACCCACGCAACACACTTGCAGACCTGGATGGAGTTCCTGGCTCCTCATTGCAGCTCAGCCCAGTCCTGGTTGTTGTGGCCACTTGGGGAATAATCCAGGAGATTGGAAGAGCTGTCCCTCCCTCTCTCTGTGTCACTCTGGGTTTTTTTGCATAAAATAAATAGGCTTTTAAAAATATTTATTTGTTTGTTTATTTATTAGTTATTTTTGGAAGGCAGATTCACAGAGAGACAGAGAAAGACATCAACCTTCTGTCCACTGCTTTGCTCTCCAAATGGCCACAATGACCAAAGCTG